AATCCTCCATCCGTCTCGAACAGATTTCCCTCGAGTTGGCGAGGGAACGCGTACAACGAGCCGCGTGCTTTTCCTTTTTCGAATTTTCCCTCGCAATCGAACTCTCGAATTGTCCCGTAATAAAGCGGAAAAGGAAGAATGGGGAATACAGATTAGGCGACGCGATATCGTTATAGAAAAAAAAAAAACAAGAGGAAACGAGATAAATCGGAACGAGAGAAGAGATTGTTCATCAAATCTGAAAACGTGACGCACATTTTCGTCGAAATTATTTTGTCCGCTTCTCCGGGCGAGAACGCAATTTGCTTGCTTAGCTTTTCCGCTTCAAATATCCCATTGTTTCCTAAATCAGAGAATTTTGTTCCTTATAAATTGCAATTCGAGCGTGGAAACCGCGCACGGATCATAATTATAACGGTCTTGAATCGGCGTCTTTGCAGCCCGCGATTATTCCCTCGAAATTATTACCGAAAAGTTTCACCCATCCGAACAACTCGCCCTACACGTTTTTTCATAATCTATTATTGCGCAGTCTCGCTTAATCCGGTTACGCGATAGACAAGAAGGGAGGTCGAGAGAGGCTCAAAAATCGGCTCGATGTAATCATTTTTCCAGGATCGTCTTACTCTCCCAATTGAATTCTCGTTTAAAGGTTTTTTGGGATAGAAAAAGCGAGCTTCGCCCCCTTTTCCACTCTTTTTCCACTCTTTCTCCACTCTGCCTTCCATTTTTCCCTCGTCCTCCCTCCCTTCTCCTCTTTTTCATCGGGAACGAAAGGCCGCCTCGTCGTATTTCGACCGGCTAATCCCGTAATCTCGTTCGATCTTTAATCCTGGCGGGAATATACCGTTCGCGCGATCGAATCACGAAGCACGAAGGCCGATTGGGAACGAACACGATCGCAGTGAATCGGCATTTCTGATCGGTAATGCTCGTTCCACGATGATTAGCAATGTGACCCTGTCGTGGGTCACACCGAATCCCTCGATCGTCCGCAATTAAATCCCTTCGAAGCTTGCCACGTGCCCCGAATTTCGATTCCACCGTTTGATCAAATTCTCCTCTCTCTCTCTCTCTCTTTCTCTCTCTGTGTTGCAGCCTATCTCGCGTCCAGACGCGGCTCCCGCGATAGCCAGTGCTCCAATTTGTCGAACGTCAGCAACGAGAGCGTGGGCCCGTTGAATTTCACAGCGCACCCCCGTGCCAGGCAACGGAGAACTTCTAATTTCTTGGAATTACCCGGTAAGCGAGCATTTTAAATCTTTTTCCTTTTTTTCCTTTTTAATCAGCAAAATTTCACTCCTTCAACAGAAACAGAATCAAGTTATCAATATAGGTATTGTTTTAATCAGGTATTGCGAAAAATTTTACTCGGAGTGGAAAATGAGTTTCCAGAAAGAGCGTGCGCGTGGGATTCTTCTTTCGTAAAATTTTTCTCGTAACAGCCGCGTGACGATTCAACAGAAACAGGGTCAAGTTATCAACACGGGTATTGTTACCGGTATTTTTTAATCGCGCCTTGCTGTTTACATTGAATCGTATCGGAAGCGTCGGCGACGCGGTACCGGCTCGTCCTCGTTTAAACTTTCAATGCACAATTCGAAACGAGGTCTCTCCTCCGCCAAACCGAAATAAATGTGCACGCGTACTCAACTTGATGCATTCGAACGATCCCCCTCCTCCCTCTCATCTTGACAGAAGAGATCACTTCCTCCCTTCGCTCTCAGTAAAAAAAAACGCGGCTTTTTCTCTTCTTATCGATATTTAAGTATCGTTCATTCGTCAAAACGTCGCTGTTTAACAGGAAAAAAAAAAAAAAAAAGAAAAGAAAGAAAAATGGAAAAAGGTATCCATCCCCATAGATTTGATTCCACTTTTCGTCGATACGATCGCGTTGTCTCGCGTGCTCAACGTCCATTTTACGTTGAAAACGTTTTTTTTTTTCCACCCGCGCGACTTCAAGAGAACAACTTTCCACGAGGAATCATCGAGGAAATGTAATGTCGCGAAAAAAAGGAACGCGAAAACAATTTTCCGTCCTCCGTCGCAATGTTTCGCAATGCGCCTGTCGATGCTCATCCTGGAATGAATTTCCTGACGATGCACGTCGATATAACGTATCAAATCATGGCGGATTACCCTCGAGTATCGAGGAGTAGGTTGGAAATTAATTACGTGGCTCGGCATCCGCTGGGCAAATACTTTCCGTAAACAAGCTATCGCGATAGGCTTTCCCTTTTTTCCCCCCGTAGATGATCCGCGGGAGCATGCGGTATTAAAAACCAGAGATATTAGAAAGCGTTGCTAATTGGCCGTGATTCGTGGAGGGAAAAAAAGGGGTGGAAAAAACGAACGGATCGATGCGATAACGAATTTTTTTTCGAATTCTGGATTCTCATTAATATAAACGAGAGAGATACAGGAAATCGATGCGACGCAGGAAATTATCGGTTTATTGTTAACGTTAATAGTGATAACGTCCATTCTCCATTCGGTTTCGAAATATTTTCTATATTGTCGATGATAATGGATATGTTTTTTCTTTGTTTTTTCCAATTTTGAAGCAAATACATATGTAATAAGTATTCCCTGTAAGACTTTAAAACGCGTATGTTGTTATTTTTTTTTTCTTTTTCTCCCTCTTTCAAATAATAGCGCAAGATTGGATTCGCCATAAAAGAGCAATAATGCAGTGAGGGAGCAGGCTTTCAAATTCCACGAGGTTCTCTCATTTTTCCTCGCCTCCTACAATAGGATTATAACGTAGTATATAATAAGGACAATCTTGAGATATAACGGGGCGAGTTTTCCTCTCTGAAGGAAATGTTGTATTATTTAACGCGGTGAATATAGAAGGAAAATATAGGAGATAATATTCGTGAAAGGGAGAAATCCTTAGATCGGGAACAAAACGTTTCAGTTTCGTTTTCAAAAAGGAAGAATGACCGAGAAAGTGCACACAAGATGCAACGGTCAGATACGATACGTTTGCACGAGTCGTTCTTTGATAGGTTTTGTCGAATACTTTTATCGTTTTTTTTTCTTTCTCGCGGCACGTGCAATATCGTTTGCAAAAAAAAAAAAAAAAAAAATATCACCGTATTTTCATTCGCTTGGTAAATATTTCAAGAGTACGAATATTCTTATTTCATCACTTCTCAGATATATACGTGTTGAATTCGATAAAAATAAATTATTGCAATTTTATTTCAGTGCATATTCGCCAAAACGAACACAAAAGTTGGTATATCAGTTGAGAGTGCAGGAAGAATAAATTTTCAATTGTTTATAATTCAATAATTCTTGTGTTTGCTTTGGAATCTGAAGAATCTGGTCTTCCAAACGTATTCTATAACAAATATATATATATATATATATATATGTTAAGAATAAAAGACATTGATCTATAAAGTAAGATAGTTTCAATTTCACTTTTTCAATAGCTTCATCATTCTCAATAGTTTAACTTTCCAATTTCTTAGCAGTAATTTACGAATAAGTTTCATATTGTTCCAAACTCTTAATAGCAAGTATTCCAGAAACTATTGAGACAAATGGCAACCATTTTATAAATCATTTGCGCGCGTCAAGTGTCTTGCGGTCGACCATCGGAAAAGCAGTTACAAGAATCCTGACTGCCAAACACGATATACGCGATAACTCATGGTTTCTTGAAAACCATCCTCCATTCGTTCTCTCTAAATTCCTCTTAATTACATTTACGTCGAGAATAATTATTGGAAGGAAAATTCCAGAAAGCAGAAATCAATTAGAATCTAACCAGTCCTTTGGAGAATCTGATCAACCGTGAATCAAGAATTCAATCACGTCTCAATTAGAAAGCGAAGATCATTACTGAGAATTCACAATATAAACAACAATGGATGAACTCTTTTGAGAAATAGTTATTCGTTTCAGGCATCTCTTTTCGTTCACAATGTTCAAAGTCAACTTCAACACACATATACCTTGCATGGAAGAGTAAAGAAAGTAGAATAAGATGGGTCAGGTCAGACACGTTGCATCCAACGTCTCAAAATCCCTCCTTTCATTTATCATTCTCATATCCATTTAATTATTCACCATCGCTGTTTCTTCGAGAGCGACCCAACCACCGAGTGTTTTTCGTTAAAATTAAATTGCGTGCGGATAATTAAATTGTGCGCGAACTATGATTTATCCATCTTCCTCCCTTCCCTTCTCATCTTTCTCTCACTTATCTCGACATTTCGACATCTCGATTTGCCAAAGTTTTATCCTTCCGCTCGAGATCCTCGGCGAAAGGAAAAATCAACTCGCGCCTAATTAATCGAAGGACGTTTCTGTTCCGTCCAAGTCCGGTCCCTGGCATTGAAATTTCCCACGGAATCGACGAAAATTCGCCGTTAATTTCGTCGAGGCGAAGTTACACCCGCCCTCGTTTTCGTAATTAGCTACTCGGTCCGGGAGACGAACTTCTTGAGTGCCTCGTCGAGTTGTAACCGCATTAAATGATGGAGCCAACCTTTGTCGATGCGCCACGCTACGCGGACCCTTGCTCCATTTCGATCTCTCAAACTTCTGCGTCCCTCTGTGTTAACGAACGAAGTGTCGCTCGTCGAACGCAAGAAAATTGGAATATTGGAGAAAATTGGATCGAGAGAAATCGTCCATCTTTGCATTTTTCTTTGCCGCCATACTTCGTTTCGGACTTCGTTTCGACTTGGAATTTCGAATCCTGAATATATCAAGGGGACAATTTAATTTGGGAATCGTTTTACGCTACGGTTCCTTGAAGTCTGTGAAAAAGAAAGATAGAGTTGGAGAATTGAAGGATGAAAGGATGAAGTGAAATTAAAGTAAATACGATTTCGAAGCGAAGCGTATTTATGGAAATAATTATTGTAAAAAAGTATATACGTACGTCGTAATTTATTCCATGGAGATTTGAGAGATTTAATACATGCATAAGCCGGCTGTGGTCAAGTTATAAAGGCGGAGATTCGATGATGCTTCGACGCTGTCGCGTTTCGGAGAGACCCTTTGAATGCAGGATCACGGGTATCCCTAAAACGTCAAGTCCCTATATCGTTTCATATTTCTATAGATTGATATTCAAATATACATGAAACGTGAAATAGATTGCGAAGAGATAGATAGCCCGACAAAATATTGTGCCCGCGCGTACAATAATATTATTGGCCCTGAAGATGATACGTGGATAGGAAAAATCTGTAAAAAGTTTAATAAAATTGTACACTATTATAAAAGTTAGTTTTGAAACTGAAGGGAACGTTCGGTTGTTTCATTTGTTGAAACCAAACAAAATTTCGTGAAATTTACGCAGAGAGATAAATCGAATTTTTACGCGAAATTCGAGATTGAGATGAAAAATGGAGTATCATTTTTTTCCCCCGCCCCTCCTATACACACGCGCTTGCTTTGTGTTTCGAGTGTTATATAAAAAAAAAAAAAAAAAAAAAAAAAAGGAAAAAAAGGAAAAAAAAAAGGAAGAAAGAAGCACGTATGGAAATTGACAGGCAGACATAAAAGACGTTGGCTAGTTAGTTGTTGGGACAGGAAATTGGGAAGCCCTCGAAGGCAGAAGCATGGCTGGTGTTCCACGTGTCGCGTCGCTTTGATCACGAGGATCGTTTCGCAATTGGAAAATTTCCAAACCTAAAGAGAGAAAAGGGGGATAAAAAAAGGAGAATCGAATGATGGATAGTTTAACGCGAATCGAAAACGATCAATTTACTTGACAGGCAAATAATTAAAAATTCAAGATGCGCAAACTTTTGTCTTTCTATCTATTCATTCCCTCCCTCCCTCCTTAACTGATCGAATATTCCTGCACGATATATTTGTCCTATATAAATCGTCGAAGAAAGAATTATTTCGACTAGTTGATTAAAAGATAAATTCAAAAGATAAATTAAAATGTAGATCGACCAAGATATCTATCCAATTAATGGAATGTTCGCGCGTTTATATCTGTTTATATCTGTTGCCCTATTTGAACTAATAGGTTGGTTTTAATTAACCGTCCATCGATACGTTTCAGTGCCGGATCACATCAGGCCACGAGTGCACAGCCTGCCGGAGAAAGCGTACAATCCGAGAGCGGGGGAGGATCTGTACAGATTGCGGGCATTCAGCATCACCCATAAAGGCGTCGTTAATCGTGGAGATTCGATTATCTCGAGGCGCAGCAGGAGCAATACTTCGGTCAACAGTAGCAGGTAATTGATCCCTGTAAAAAAGAAAAGAAGATTGCCTTTTTAATCAAATGCACGTATTTACAAATAAGAACGAGGATGAGATTAAAAAACATTTTAAACATTTAAATCTCTTCGAAGATTTTTGGTAATTGAAAAAAAAAAAAA